TAGCCACAATTAAGACACTTTCATATGTTCAAGGACTGTGTGTATCATTTTTACATGTACGTTGTGACAAAGAAGCATATAGTGCTGAAGTATTTTATGTTGTACCATATGATTTCTGTTTAATTTAAACATATTGGTGTTTTGATCAGGGGCGGACCCAACCCAGGCCCAATGCAGGCATCTGCCTGCACTGGGCTTTGGGCTGCCCCCAAATTTTCATCAACCCATTAGTGGAAAAAAAAAATTGGGCCAATTATTTAGCCCAAAAGATGTGATAAAATAGAAGCCTGCCGGGTGAATCTCCTACTTCTATTGAACGAACGCCTTTCGGCTCTGGCAACAAGAATCGCACCACACTAGTTCACACTTCGCAATCGCACACCCCCTGCTGCAAGCTACATCCACGCCGTTGCCAGTCGCCGGCCCCTGCATCCATCCACTGTCCACGCACCGCATGTCCTGCAGGCAGCAGCCAACGTTTACGTAGGTAAGTTTTATATAATTTCTATCTTCTATTGTGCTATTGATATAAATTCCATCTGCTGACTGCCATTGCGGACTGGAGGAAAGGAGGGGAAATAATGTGGGCTGTGGCTAGTGGTTGTGCCTATGGCTGTTTCATGTTTGTTGATTTGGTTGGAATGGGGGAAAATTATCGGTTGCCTGCCATGGTTGATTTGATTGGGCTGTGGCTAGTGGCTGGGCAGTAGCTGGGAGGAAAGGCCGAAAGGGGGAAAAATCTGTTGGCTTGAAATGTGCTGTGGCTAGTGGATGTTGCCTGTATGTTTTGTTGATTTGATTGCCTATTGGAAATTGTCTTTGACTGTGGTCTGTGGAATTTGGAAATTGTCTTTGGTTGTGCCTGTGCATGTATGTTTTTACTTTGTTACAATTGTTAGCCTCCTAAAATCAAATGAAGAACATGATTTAATCCATCCGGAAATTGTCTTGCTATAAATTTCACTTGGACTGGAAAAAGATATATTCTTAAATATTGATAATAAGGCGATTGTCCAAAGATATCAAAGTATGAAAACTCGTAAAGAATAATTATAAGGTATTTCATTTTAGTATAATGTTTTGTGTTTTATATATATAATAGGTTTAAGCAACGTGCAATGCACGTTTGCTTAGTTTATATATAATTTTTTTGGTTAAAAATTAAATTTTTATTAATAAAGATGTAATTTTTTGGTTAATTAAATAATTAATGATGTAATGTTTATGTAATTGATAAATAATTACACATTATGATTTATTAAAAAAAGAGTATTAATAGAATCTATAGCATCGTCCTATATATAAATATCGCTCATAGTTTTATAAAAGCTGTTTGAAATAATTTTGATTCTAAGATAACGATTCAGCATTTTCCTCATCTTGCACTGCTTCAATAGATAGGATATTAAACTGCCTATATTTTTTCTCCTTTAGTTTCTCTGGATCTACATAAACTTGAATCTTCCAAATTTCTTTTGATAATTTCTCTGCA